GGTTCTTTCATGTCTTCCAATGCTACTCAAACTAGGCAAGGCTTTCTCATCCAGGTCCTGTACATATGGTTTCCTTCCAGTGTTAGTCTTTTTATGACAGTGAAGGAAACTGTGGTTCATGAAGGCTTTACCACACTGCTTATGCACATGTCTTTTCTCTCCATTGCCAATTTTCAAATGTATTTGAATGAAGCTCTGATTCTGGAAGGCTTTCTCACATTGCTTATATTCATAGGTGTTCTCTTCATGAGAAGTACTCTCATGCTTCAGAATGCATTGGAGATGAATGAAAGCTTTTCCACATTCTTTAACTTTATAGAGACCTCTGCCACAAGGCTCACATTTATGGTGTTTGTGTCCAGTATGCACGCCAATAGGCACATTTTGGGATGAATCACCATTGAGCAAATCGTCGTGCACATGTCTTTCAAATACTTTTACTCCAGGAAGAGTTTTATTGTTCACAACTGTGCTTTACAGCCTGGCTGAAGATTTCTCCATATTCACTACCTTTATGTTTACCCAGACTGGGCACCACTTCACTTCTGTAGAAAAAGAGAAAAGAAGTAACTAAAATTTTGTGTAGGGCTGGGAAGTGGCTTGGTTGTTAAAAGTGCTTGTACTGCAAGTATCAAGACTTATGTTTAAATATCCAGCATCTATGTAAAAACTAGGCATGGCTATGAGTAGCTAAAATCCTAGCACTGAGGGGGTGGAGACAGATCCTGCCTGCTCACCAGCCCACTCACTCAGGTAAATTGACAATGTCTTGGAGAAATAAGACAGAGAGTGATGTAGGAGTACATCTAATGTCCTGCTTTGACTTCTGCTAGGGCATACATACCCATATCAAGGTAACTATTTTCTAAACATTGAGTATCATGCCTGTGGAGGCCAGAAAAGTTCATTGGATGTGGACTATTAGATGTGGGTGCTCTTAACTGTTGAGCTATCTCTCCAGACTTTAGTATTTTTGAAGTGAAGTTTTCATATAATATAAACTCACCACCTCCCCTGCCAGACTAACCACCAGGGATTGTAGGCATGTCACCATGCTTTTTATGTAGGAGTTGATGCACTCAAGAATACATATTCAAAATGCTTGGGCCACCACTATTTTGAATTTTGAAATATTTGCATATATAGTGTATCTTTGAAATTTTTAGCCAGGCAGTGGTGATGCATACCTTTAATTCTAGCATGCAGGAAGCAGAGGCATAATTGGAGGTGTTATTCTATAAATATGTTTCTCTTATTGGTTAATGAATAAAGCTCTGTTGGCCAATAGGAAAGCAAGATAGGCAGGACTAGGAGACTAGGAAGTTTCGGAGAGAGGGAGGAGGGATTCAACATGTAGGACCAAGAAAACAGAGATCCCGATCCTCTCTCTGGTAAGATAAGACCACATGGAAACACTTAGATTAATAGAAATAGGTTAATATTTAAGAAAGAGCTAGCCAATAAGAAATGCTAGTAACAGGCCAACAGCTCTTCTATCTAATATAATGTCTCTGTGTGTTATTTGGGGCTGGCGCAGCTTTGGGACCAAGCTGGGGAAAAAACAACTCATAACAGAGGCATCCAGATTTCTTGCATGTATGTTTGTATACCATCTTCTTGCCTGATCCTAGAAAAGGGCATTGGATTCCTTGGAACTGGAGTTACAAAGGGTTGTGAGCCATCAAGAGGGTGCTGAGAATTAAACTTTGTCCTCTTGAGCATCCAGTGCTCTTAATGGCTGAGCCATGTCTCCATTGCCCCACCCCCCTCATTTTTAAAGACAGGATTTCACCATGTAGCCCTGGCTGGCCTGGAACTTCCTATGTAACAGGGGCTAGTATACATACAACTCTCAGACATCTACCTGTCTCTGCCTATGGAGTGCTGAGACTAAGGATGGGTGCCATCATGACTGCTCAGTCCCATATTCTTGAAGGATTTCACTTTAATTTGGAAAGGAAAATTACCTTAGTCTCCAGGAATTTTTGTGATTATCTTCAATGTTTTGTCATTCCTGTGCTTGTGCTAAAAATAAAGAACCAGAAAAAAAATCATGATGTATTCTATCATACTAGATTCAGAGTAGTTTAATGATATAATGTGACCATTCTTGGTATAGTCTCCAAACTGATCCTTTCTATACTCCAAACATTGAACAGCATTGATGAGTAAGACAGACTGTTCTCAGATTGAGTAGTAAGGAGTGATTTTATACTTACCTGTAGAGACTAGATTCCTGAAAGTTTCCTCCATCAAATCTCTGTAGAGTTTCATCTGAGAAGGATCCAGCAAAGCCCACTCTTTCAGAGTGAAGATGACAACCACATCCTCAAAGGTCCAAGTCTCCTAGAACATACCACAGATTTCTAAAAGGAGAAGTGAGATTCACAACACAGTATATTTATCATCAACTCACATTTTATATGTTTAAAAGACCTGGGTTCCTGGGACGCTCATGGTGGAAGAAGAGAACTGACTTCCCCAAGTTGTCATCCATCCTTTGCATTGATGCTATGACACACATGAACAAATATACACATTACATTAATTGATGTAATAAAAATTTTAAAGCAAGGAAAAGTGACAGTGGAAGACACCCTATACTAACCTGTGGCTTCAATATATGAAAACATGGGCAAGTGCACCCACACTCACAAATGTACATATATTGCTTACACGCACACACACACACACACACACACACACACACACACAGAGAGAGAGAGAGAGAGAGAGAGAGAGAGAGAGAGAGACAGAGAAGCTTTAAAAGAGATCTAGTCTATCATGATTTGGGAGGAAAAGGTGTCATTTTCTCCCAATTAATACCATTCACCTTATAATACAGTCATAAAATTTTCTTTAAAATCTGCAACAGAGAAACCAGTATGCTGTTGCCCCTTTCCTTGGGACAGCTCATTTGCTAAATCAACTTCTGCTTAAACTGTCTATCTCCCTTGGTTTAATTCTCTTCCTCACAAAAATAGGAACTGGTCTCTCTCCTTCCATCTGGTACTTGTCTGATCCCATCTCATGGTACTGCTCCCCACCAGACCTTCCAGACTGCCCAGATAGACTACCTGTATTCTCCTTCTCTTTATAGGGTTATCCCAAAGACCCATGGATGCTTGACAGATTTCTGCCAGCTGCCTGACTGTGACCCTCCAGTTGTCCTGTCCAGCCTTGAGGCCCAGAACAAGCACACAATACCAGAGAAATCTGGTTCCAAGCCCATTGACAAAGCCACTAAAGGTATCAGACTGGCTGACAAGCAGAAGAGCTGAAACAGAGGCTGTAACTTTAACTACCAACAGAGGAGATCAGTATTCCAACCCTGCTATGATTTTGTTTTATATGTATGGCTGTTTTGCCTACACATATATTTATGCACCATTTGAATGTCTGGTGGGTGTGGAGGCCAGAAGAAGGTGTCTGACCCTGTGGGACTGAAATTAAAGACTGTTGTGAACCACTGTGTGGGTGCTTGGAATCAAATTCAAGTTCTCTAGAGGAATAAGTGCCCTTAACTGCTGAGCCATCTCAACTTCTTAAACACACACACACACACACACACACACACACACACACACACACACACACAAACCTTTATTTATCCTCTCTGTGTGGGCACAGTGCATGGAGGTCTGAGGAAATTGTGAGATTCGGTTTTCCCTTCCACCATGTGGGTCCCAGGATTTAAATTCAGGTCTTCAGGCTTGGACATTTCACCAGGCCAGGCTGTCAGTTTTGAATGGGGTCCAGAGCATCATAATTCAGTATGTGGTGATCACAGATGGCAAAATCTCAAGAAAAAAATTGAAATTAAGCCCAGATGCACATAAAGAGGGTAGTATTTCTAATTAAATACCACTTATTATAGCAATACAATATTGATCAACACCATGATAAGAAATATTTTATTTTCATTCATTGGCTTAGATTAGCTCATGGCATATAAAACTTGCTCAATAAATGTGTTAATTGAATAGAGTCTTTACATTTATTTTACTACATTAAAGGGGAAAATCTGCATGGAATCTTAGTATCAAAACAATGATTAGACCAATTCCACCTCTCTCTGTCTGTCTTGTTCTTCGTTTTATTAATATGAGAGTATCTTTAACTAATTGCTTAATTAACCAATTAATATGCATGTGTTCTGCTGCAATACTTGTGGAAGTCAGAGTACAACTTGTGACAATTTGTTCTCTCTCACTACTATGTGAGGTTGGATATTGAACTTAATGTCCTTGGTGAGAAGAGCCTTTATTCTGATACCTTACCAGACAGTTATATTCTTTTTGTCTACTTGTTTATTTCTGTGTTTGTATTTCGAGACAGGGTTTCCCTATTACTTTGGAGCCTGTCTTAGAACTAGCTCTGTAGACCAGGCTGGCCTCGAACTCACAGACATTAGCCTGCCCCTGCCTCCTAAATGCTGGGATTAAAGGTGTGTGTCACCAACGCCCTGCTTCAGGAAGTTATACTCTTGATGTCGCTGTCTGCAGTCCCTACTCTCCTCCCACAAAATCCTGGGTAATAGCATCTCGAAGGTTATCCTCAGATGCCTGCTGGCTACAGGCACAAAGCAAGGCAGATTGTGATTCTGAAAGTGCAAGGTTCCAAGCTTTACTATGACAATCCCAGAATTCATTGTGCGCTGTCTTTTGGGGCGGGGTCAGCCCCCTCAGCTTCTGCTTAGGGAAGTCCTGGGGCTTACTCTGTTCTGGGTTGAGGAGCCCCTGCAGCCTTGAGACTGAGGAGGTTCGTTGTGGGGTTTGCAGCCCTGGACATTCCTGTCAGGTCTGAGGTATGAAAAGCTTTATTTGGGTCATGGATTCGTAAAGAGCTTCTCGTAAGTTTTTGGGGTTACCAGGATAGTTTTGTCAATTTCAGAATCTAAGATGAAGTCTCTTGTCAAATGAAGATACAGGAGAGTCCTTGTCACTCTGTGGCGGCTGCTGCAAAGAAATGCCTGACATTTGGAGCTGTGAAAAAAAAAAAAATCTTCGTTTAGTATCAGGATTCGAGGGAAGTTTTTTCTTCATTTACAGCAGTTTTGAAGAGATCTATTTTATCATCGGGGTGTGAGGAGATTCCTGTCATGTTTAAAGTTCAAGGGGATAACGATACTCATTACTGGCCCAGAAGAAATACTATTTAAAACGAAGAGAAGGTTCGTTTTGTCTTAGAACCCAACTCCAGGACTGTGACTTGAGTGCCTAGTCTCATATACCTTGTTCTAAAAGATTCTGAGACAACTTTCTAATAACTTGGCCAGACATCAAAGGTCTACAGCTCTAATCCCTCCTGTTTTGAGGATATGGGCGGGTCTCTTCCCAAGCCCCTCCCCTTCTTTATGATGTAGTTTGTGTCATAATACCGGGAGTGGAGAATTCTAGAACCTGGGAAGCAAGAGGCCAGCAACAGCGCAGTTACAGGCGCTTCTGAGAGGCTTCAGGTGTTTATATGAAACTCCAGAAAGCCACCTCTGACTTCAGGGCCAAAGAAAGTGGGCCCGTAAGGGCTCCACGGGAGAGCAGGGCCCCAAACTCTCTGATCTCAGTGAAAGAAATTCTGAAGGCTGGGTCCCAGCGACCCATCATCCGCCAGTGAGGGTGCTTGCCGATACCTTCTTGTCCTACCATCTCACTCTGTGAAGATGGCCTCAGTGCCTGTGTACTGTCTCTGTCGAAAGCCGTATGATGTGAACCACTTCATGATAGAGTGTGATATGTGCCAGGACTGGTTTCATGGGAGTTGTGTTGGCATTGAAGAAGAGAAAGCTGCTGACATTGACATCTACCACTGTCCAGACTGTGAGGTCTTACATGGGCCTTCCATCATGAAAAAATCGCATGGATCTTGTAAAGCGCATGAAGCTCTCAAGAGGGAGCCAGTGATGACAGGGAGCCCTGGGTTTATTCACCAGCTACAGGGTAAGACTTTTGACAGTTCTGATGAAGTGATTTTGAAACCCACCGGAAGTCAGCTGACAGTGAAATTCCTGGAAGAGAAAAGCTTCAGTACACCCATCCTTGTCTTGAAGAAGGATGGATTGGGAATGACACTTCCCCCACCATCATTCACAGTCAGAGATGTGGAACAATATGTCGGTTCTGACAAAGAGATCAATGTGATTGATGTGGCCTGTCAGGCTAGTTGCAAGATGATGCTGGGTGATTTTGTGAAATATTACTACAGTGGGAAGAGGGAAAAAGTCTTCAATGTTATCAGTTTGGAATTCTCTAACACCAGGCTTTCTAACATGGTAGAGATGCCCAAGATAGTTAGTAAGCTTTCCTGGATTGAAAACTTATGGCCAGAAGAGTGTGGCTTCGAAAGACCTAAAGTGCAGAAGTATTGCTTTATGAGTGTACAGCATAGCTACACAGATTTTCACATTGAATTTGGTGGCACTTCAGTCTGGTACCATGTGCTTAAGGGTGAGAAAATCTTCTACTTGATCTACCCAACAGATGCTAACCTGACTCTTTTTGAGTGTTGGAGAAAATCCTCTAAACAAAAAGAGATGTTCTTTGGTGACCAGGTGGACAAGTGTTACAAGTGTTCTGTGAAGCAAGGGCAGACACTTTTCATTCCTTCAGGATGGATCCATGCTGTATTGACCCCTATGGAGTGCCTAGCATTTGGGGGAAACTTTTTACACAGTCTTAACATTGAAATGCAGCTCAAAGCCTATGAGACTGAGAAGCAGCTGACCTCAGTAGACCTCTTCAAGTTTCCCAGCTTCGAGACCATCTGTTGGCACGTGGGAAAGCAAATTCTGGACATCCTTGGAGGTTTGCGAGAGAATGGGAGACGACCTGCTCCTTACCTGGTTCATGGTGGTAAAGCTCTGAATGTGGCCTTTCAAGCCTGGACAAGGAAAGACGCTCTGGCAGACCACAAAGATGCGATCCCAAAGACAGTGCAGACCATACAGCTCATGGAAGATCTGGCTAGGGAGATCTGTTTGGCCGAAGATACCTTCCAACAGAACACCCAGAAGGTGAATACAACCTTTGGGGTCCAGCAGCTCTTCCCCACTGATTCCTCTTCCTTAATGAGGCCAACTCATCTCACTTCAGTATCTAAGCCTACATTATCACTACCCTCCACAAGTGGTTCAAAAAATAAAGGCCCAAAGCATAAGGACATCTTCAAGAAGGTCAAACAAAAGGACAAGGAGTGTCAAGTCTTGGGATCTGATGATCAATGTATGGATAATCCTATGGATGTAAACAATTATCAAGTACTTATGGCAGGCTCTTCCCAGAAAGTAGAGTTTGATATCACTAATACCTGCTTGAATGACTCAGGTGATGACTCAAAATCTGACAGTGTCTATGATGGGAATGAGAGCCCCATGGCAGTGTCGATGGCTAATGGTGGAACCAAGAGGGTGAAGAGTTTGTCCAAGTCTTGGAGAGCCAAAAACATAAAGAAGGAAGATAATCCAAGGTTGGTGAAAGAACAAGTAATTGGAGACAAGTTTGACTTGGATTCAAATGTTGAGCTGCAGATTGAGGAGGAACTGGGAAAAGAGAAAATAAGCCTGGTAGTAAGACCAAATATTCCCCCAAATTTGCCCCAGGTGAAATTTTGCTCTGGCCAAAACCAAATTCATGAACAAGGGGATTCTGTGATCACCTCTGAGAACTGTAAAACAGATAATGAAATTATGGAAGGGGTTGAAGACAAGATATGGAATGGAAGTGGATCTGGTGGAATTCTTGATCCACTTAAGGTCGGGGAACAGATGGAAAGATTTGGCTGTGTTGTCCTCACGGAGGATGCAGACTCTTCCAGCAATAAGGAGGCTATCCAGGACATTGTGATCATACCTGAATTACGGTCTTCATCTTCTTCACCAGCTCCCTCCAGTCTCCAAACCTGGTGGAGTGAAGGGCAGGGCCAAAGCCATGGGAGCTCCAGCAGTGGCTTGGGCATGGTACCTAATAGTCTTGTTTCTCAGCACATCCGATGGAAATGGCCCATCAAGCGGCTAGCATACTGGAAAACTGAAAGCGCAGAGGAGCATGACAGGGCGAATAAGCAAGACAACTTGGGAACATGCTTAAAGGATTCTGAGCGTATCTACCTATTCCTGGAGTCTGATGATGATGATGATGACGACGATGATGACAATGACGACGATGACAATGATGACGATGACGATGATGATGACGATGATGATGATGATGATGACCCTGTTTTGAGATCTCTACCAAAGAAAAGGAAGATATCAGATGATGCCCCATGGATTCCTAGCGCACGTGTGATCCCACCACTACCAAAGCAGGACCGTCCTATGCGCAAGGGAACCCGTGTTGTCTGCACTGAGGTTGGTTTGCCTGCAGCAGCTACAAAGTTGGCACAGCAGGTGAAGAACATGAAGCTGACTCTAAATGACTAGTCCAGGGTAGGGCAGCTAGTAAATGGAGAAAATAAGACTTAGACCCCTGTCCTCAAATGTCAGCTTCCCTGTAGCATGATACTTAAGTTAATATGTATTTTAGTAATACTATCCCATTTAAATGAAACTTAATAGGGTTGTGTTTTTTAATAGGATGTTCTATAGAGCTGTAGAGTTTCTTAGAAATGTCTTCCAGGCTGTTATTTGGACCCAGAAGAGATTAAGCAGGTCAAGAGGCTCTTCTCTTACTAGAACCTGCCCTCTGTCATTTATATCTCAGTGTCATGTGTAACTTGGAAATAAAGGCTTTACTACTTTAAATATACCCCCAAACAAAGAAAACAAACAAAACAGCCCACAAAAATAAAATACCCACCAATATCTGTCTTGGGACTACATATTCTTAGTAATACTTGAGATCCAATTTTGAACCTTTGCTTGTGTCTAGGAATTCCTACTGGGATAGACAACCAAAATTGAAGCATTAGAATCCCACTGTTACCAGTTTTGACCAAGAATATACTGCAGATTTTATTTCCCAAACACACATGAGACTGGTCAATCATCAAGCTGTTTTATGAAGTCTCAGATGCATAATGAATGATTGAAATCTTCAGAACAATAAAATGATATCTTGCTTAATACAAATAAACAATTGGAAACTTCTTTATTATTGTTTGGATATGGCATGTCTACTAAAGATTCATATACCCAAGGCTTGTGCCCAATGCAGCCAAGTTCATACCTGGAGGTTAAAGGGAATAACTTAGGCTGTAAGTGCTCTTATTTCATAATTGCAGTACTTCACTGTGAGCCTCATAAGTGAACTGATGCATGGAATGGTTGGAAAGTAGTTAGCAAAACTTATTTGGAAATAGTACTACCATAACCCTGAATTGTGGATTTTTTTTCCCAAGCACTTTGCTTTCTGATTGTGATGTTCTGCCCCATCATTGGCTCAAAGAAACAGAGCCAGTCGACCATGCACTGAAACATTTGGAACCATAAGCCTAAGTAAATCCACCATTAAGTTGCTATTTTTACCTACTGTAATGTTTTTCTTTTTGTTTCATTTTGAGATGTGGTTTCTCTACATAACCCTAGCTGTCCTAGAATCCACTATGTAGACCAAGCTGGCCTCAAACTCACAGAAATCTTCCTGTCTATGTCTCCCAAGTGTTCAGTTTAAAGGCATGTGCTACCTGGCTTTCTGGCTTCTTAGATACTTTGAAAAAGATATTTGTATTTTATTTTATTTTATTTCTATGAGTGTGTTTCTGTTGTTTTCATGCATACCATGTGCATGTCTAGTGCCTGAAGAGGTCAGAAGAGGGTATTTGATGATCAGGAACTGGGTTGTGAGCTGGCTAAGGTGGGTGCTGGGGACATAACTCAGGTTCTCCGCAAGTGCAGTGAGCACTCTTAACCACTGAACCATCATCACTCCAGCCCCATTTTTTAGAAACTTTTTTTTAGCATTAATAAACATCTTATCAATGCACTAATTTCTTTAAGACAGCACTAACAGAGTGTTGAAAATATTATTAAAATGAAAATAGAATTTAATGTGTTCACACATATACAGAAGGTCAGTTAATCATGCAGTAGCGAGAAACCATAGCCTAGGGCCGAGGAGAAGGCTCAGCTAGTAAAAGCACTTTCTGCCGAAGCCTGATGATCTATGTTTGAGCTCTGAAATCCGTGAAAAGAAAAACCTAGGGGCATATGTATAAGTCTGCAATTATTTTGACACTCCTCCAGCAAGAGAGGATAGAGGCTTGCAGGCCAGCTAGTCTGGAGTACACCATAGCAGCACAAACAACAGACAAGTTCTTGCTTCAACAAGTAGCACTTGACACCATTTCTAGAATTGTCTTCTGACCTCCACTCTCAATCTGTGCCACCTCCTTCTCGTATATACACGCACACACGCACACACACACACACACACACACACACACACACACACTAAATTCATAAAAATGGGAAAATTGCAGTTAGTGTATGAAGCAACATATAAAATTACATATTAAAGTGTAGAAGTTGATTCTGATCATCAGCTTGATTGAAACAAATAAAACCACTTGGGGAATTAATGAACATACTTTGGCCTGTCTCTGAGGGCTTTTGCAGGAAGGCTTAACTATATTAGATGTGTCCCGCTTTGAAAGTGGGCAACACCACCCTATAGGTTGGGGGCTCAGACTGAAAAGGTGAAAGGACCAAGGTGGCTCCATACTCCTGTTTCCTACTTGACCACTGTGATGCAAATAAGCAGCTTTCTATCACCATGTCTATCCCATCTCCCTACCATAATGGACTGAATCCCTTGAATTGTGAACCAAAATACATCTTTCCTTCATTGAGGGGCTTCTATTGGTCATAAGAATGAGAGAAGTACCTAATGCCAAAGGTAAAGAGAAAACTTGAAGACTGAAAAGTCAGGTGCAATGGTATGTTTGGGTTTAAGGGAGGGAATCTCCAGAGACTGGGATGGATCATTTGGGAAGAATATTTGATGCCTAAACATGTGACTATGTTTGGATCCCAGCACCCATAGAAGAAGTCAGAAATGACAAATGTACCTGTAACCTGTCAGAAGCTGTCTTTCTGGGGCCCAGCATAGTGGCCCCAAGTTCATACCTGAGTGGGGGTGTGTGGATGAGGGAAAGGCTAGCTATAGATGATAAAGAAAAGACAGAGACACAGAATAAAAGTCAGGAGAACAGACCAGTCAATACTGAAATGGCACAAGTTTATTTTTCACCACACTAATATACCTTAACCAAAAAGGGTAACTTGGTATCATGTACACGGAACAGACTTTTCTTCCTCACTTATTCTAAGGGTTCAGTAACCACACCTTAGATTCAACTTCTTGTTCCCTTGCCTTAAGGATCAGGAGCAGCCACACCTCAGATTCAGGTGTGTTGTTATTTAGAATAAGACAGCCAAACATCCTACTGTAGCCACACCTTTGACCTTTAGGTCTTATACTTGCTGAGAACAGTTTTGAACTCTCTGTCCTTGTGCCAAGATGGAATTCAGCCATCTTTATGGATACCAACATATCCCACCTTCTTAATATAATTAATAAAACTCCTGCTTCTACTACAGGACAGATGTGTCTGTCTTAGGTTGTCTTCTTCCACCTTCCAGCCTTGACCGTCATGTGTGTAGTGTCTTCGGTTGTCTGGAAGTAAAAAGAACTTACACATCCCTGGTTACCAGCCTCTCTGAGCCAACTTTTCTCATCAAGAGTTCATAAGCAAGCTAGATAATGCATATTCTTTCATGCTATAGCATCTCCTGCAAAATGAGAGGATGAATGAAGATAAAATGGCCTTTAATATTGGTTTGGGATGTCCTGAGTGGCTTTAGCTATACCAAAATCTAAATCTGCCTATTTAATTACATTGTACCCAATGATTCATAAGCATCATGTCTAATAATTTTTGTGAATTACAGGTTTTCAAAGTATGACCTGAAAATTGTCTGGATTTCCTCAGTGTCCATTGTTATGTCCCCCTATTCATTTCTAATTTTGTTTATTTGCATCTTTTCTCTCTCTGCTTTTTGGTTAGTTTGGGTAAAGGTTTGTCCATCTTGTTGATTTTCTCAAAAAACCAACTCTTTGTTGCATTGATTTTTTTTTTTTTATTGTCTTCCTGGTTTCTACTTTATTGATTTCAGCCCTCAAATTGATTATTTACTAGTGTCTACTCCTCCGAGGTGAGCTTGCTTCTTTTGTTCTAAGAATTTCAGTGCTGTTATGTGACTATCCTTCATTTTCTTCATATGGGCACTTAGTGCAATGAACTTTCCTCATAGCACTGCTTTCAAAATATCCCATAAGTGTAAGGAGTATGGGTTTTTCCGCCTGCTGCCGCCGAGTCAGCCCCAAATAATGCACAGAGACTCTGTATTAGATATTATGCTATTGGCCAGGTACTAGTTTCTTATTGGCTAGCTCTGCCTTAGTTATTAACCCATTTCTGCTGATCTATGTATGTCTCTTGCCGGGGAGCCGACGGCATACTGCTTTTTTCAGACTCTCCATCTTGACTCCTCCTTCCTACTATTTCCTCCTTGTCTCCTAGTCCCTCCTATCTTCCTTTCCCATTGGCCAACAGTGCTTTATTATTAACCAGTATGAGAAACATATACAGAATGACATCTCCCATCATCTCCTCTTTTCTGTCTAAACAAAAACAAGGGTTTTAACCTTAACATAGCAAAATATATTATACAACAGTTATCAAGTAAGAATCACAGTTAACAATATTTAGTCCATTAACATTTAGCAAGATTTGAAGAAAATATTTCATCATCTATTCTATCTTTGTGTGTCTAAAGTCTAAGTAACTTATCTTTAATCCTAACTAATGAAAACTATAACCATAACTATCTGTGTTCAACTCCTTCAAAGACCACAGAAGGATAATATATAAACTCTAGAAATGACAGAGACAACTCACTGCCTGGTCACCCGAAGTTCTTTTGTAATCTTCCATCTTCAGCCCATAGGCCATAGTGTGTCTGGCAGACTCTTCAGCAAAGCAGGAGACTTAAACTGTCTTCTTGTATTGGCAGTTTGTCCGTCACTTTTCTCTGTGTCGTGCAGACTGTCTGGTAGACTCTTCCATGAAGCAGGAACTCTGTAGCAATGTCCATCTTGAATCAGCAGTCACTTTTCTGTGGATCCTGCATGTCCAGTTTATACAGCATAAAGTCAAACAGTCCAGACAAGAGTAATATCTTGTCCAAATAGCTAGTTTTGCCATATTGAAAGTAAACTCCATAGCAAGTTTCTTTAATGTACATCTTCCTTTTTGATGCAGGTGGTGTTGCCAGGAGCAGTTATGTTTCCCTGTCAAGAAAAACCCTAAATGATTTTAAATGCCATGTTCTGTAGGTCTTTGAAAGGTTTGAAGAATGCCTATTCATCTCAAATACATCTCTGTATAACTAGAAAACCTAACTCACCTAACTACAGTTTTGACTATTATAGGTAACTGTCTATAATCTGTACTAAATTACATTTTTAAATGAGCTATATAAACACAATACCTAAATGAGAGGAGAAATATACATATCACAAAATTGACGTTAAATTTGTATCAATAAATGAAAATCCATTTTAAACAGTGTTCATATCTATACCATAATCCCCTTTTTACCTTTAAAGAGATTGGTTGGCTCACAATCCTCTTTAATTCCATGCAGTGTCAGGAGTTCCTCCATCCGCTGCACATCAATAATGTATAGGATAGAGATACACACTTGCAGGGAAAACATTCCTAAATATATATTCATGTGGGTATTGGTCTTTCAAGGATGTCTGTGTGTTGTGTTAGGTGGGTTAGAGGTCACAGTCCCAGAGGGAGGAGAGAAACTAAGGAATGTTGGCTTCGTAGTGAATGAAAAAAATAAAAAGGAA